TGTCATGCCTGATATGAAGCCATTGTAGCTTTGCTTTGCATTCAATATTGAAGAGAAGCTGCCGATTTGGTTTTAAATATTGAATTCTAATAACAGTTTGGACTCAGAAAGGAAGGAAGCTAGGCATGGCAAAATTTGGGAGATGCTTTTAAAAATGATTAGGCTCCTAAAAGTTTTAGAAATTCTCGAGTCTCGGGCGTTTTAAATAATTTTAAGCATGTCTATTAAATTTATCAATTGGCCTCCCAAAACTGTAAATTTATAAAGGTCTTATGCTAAACTTTTTTAAAAATTTAGTTAGACCCTAAATTTTTTATAAGTTTTGATTAGGTCCCAAATGGTTTTGATAACATCCGGTATGCGTATTTCGCTGCGTTGTGGCAAAATTATTACACTTCTCTCACCACCTCTTGTGTCGTCCCACCCTCCCTTGCAACTCCCGCCAGCTGAAGATTTTCGTTATTTTGAATATTATATTCTTTTAAGAGGAATCGAAGAATAAAATTCAGTATCCCTCTTACTGTAGTAAGAAATATTCCCGACTTTGTATTTTTTTTTAAATTATTCATTTTTTTAGATTTTGGAAATTTTCTATCTTTATTATGGTTTTTTACTATTGTTTTTTTAATAATATTTCATGTTTTTTTTTCATTCTTTTTGTATATTCTGTTGTTATGAGGAATCGAACTGTCGCAGAATAAAATTTTGTGAAATGATAGTCTTTTGTTGATATTGAATGCTTTGTTAATATGTTATTTGAGGAAATTTTATTATAATATTTTGACTCGCAAGTAAAAAGATATTAAAATCTTTAGTTAATTAAAAAATTAACTGAATTAACTATTTTCTAGATAATTTGATTTAGTTACCGTTAAATATTTTGAAAATTTTATTTAATTCAACGGTTGCTTATTTTATTATTAATAAAAATAATCATTTGAAGACTCGTAGTTAAAGATAGTTCAAAAATATATCTATAGTGTTTCAACTTTATAGTATATTTGAAAGAAGTATATTTGAAAGAACGTTTCTGAAAAATCCTAAAACTATATATGTGACAATTTATCTAACAATTATATTTCAGTCATCAACTGTCATATCCAATTTCAACAATCATATCACTTTAAACAGTGTATTTTAGATCAAAGCATCATAATACAAGAATATCTAGATTGTGTGCAAGCATATGAACCTCATTCCTTCATGAATTACTAGACCAACATCTTTGTTTTAACCTATTAAAAACTGATTGCTCGGTTCAACTTTTATTCAATAATCGCCCTAAATTTTGTGCAATATATAACACTATTTAAAAAAAATAGCCGCATGCAAATATAACCCCATTCAAATAGCCAAAAAGTAAAGATTAAGATAAGACAGCTTGAATCAAACTAAAATAAATATAAAAGTTGATTCAAATACAAATTCATGAGTATTGCAAGGCAAAAATAAAAACCAGGTTCAGTCTCCCATTCATGCAGACATACGCAATGCATAATATATATATGCATAGTTATAGGTACCAAGTCTTCCACAATTGCAGTACATGTTTACCATCAGAATCTAAACATTAACTTCAGCACACCATTAATAATATATTATTGCGATGAACTGTTTGTAATGAAGCAAAAGATGCTCAAGGGGACCATCCTTGCTCTAATCCTGCAAGAAGAATGAACAATTGTACTAGTAAAATCTATAAACAGCAATGCAAACACAATCCAACCAAGGCTGAAACAGTAACACTTAACAGGTTAGCAAAAGAACTAACATACCTCATCGTCGTCGCCGTCGTCCTTCTTAAGGCGAGTTGTGCCACCCTCCTTGCTGATGGGTAATTTCATTGGTCCAAATGGAGTATCAACATTAATATGACCTTTAATACTGTAACCTGTTCCTCTTCCTCTTATCATGTCCCAAAGGGCAGATCCAAAATCCTTAGGCCTGAAGGAGATAGGAATGTCAACGTAACTGACTCCTTTTTTGCTTATCTTTGTTGATTTTTCGAGTTCTGCACCTCCAATGTTCACTTCAGATAGCCAGACCTCATAGTCAAGGGCATTGAGTCCCAAGTCAAAGTCATTCATATTTTCCAATTTTAGGTGAAGAGTTGCGACAGTTTCCTCCCAAGAGAATCTCTCAAAGTGTATCTTCTCCAGATCAACATCAGGCTTGTAAGGTATAGGGATCTCCCCGGTTTTCTCGAGCGGTAAAGTTAACCTTCCAAAAACAGGAACATCAACAATGAGATCAGCTTTCAGCTTATATGGAATGATGCTTCCGGGCTCAATGTCATTGTACGTACTTTTGATATCATCATATATCAAAGTAACTGGTATCTTTACAGTCTCCTCCCCGTGAGCATGGATGGTTCCAGCATCTGGAATCAAGCCTGAAAGGAGTTTCCTTCCATCACTCTCAATGAGGTAGTCAATGTCGACGAGGGGGATTGGAACAGGATTTGGATTCTTTATTAGGACATCAACCACAATGTCGGCTTTCTCAAGATTGATGAAAGGGATGTGAATCGCAGCTACATCTGCAGTCGGCTTCCCAAAGCCAATTGTTTCCTCGATCTTCTCACCGATGTCATGAATGAAGTCCTTGACCTTATCCATAAATCCACCCTTGTCATCGTTGTCGTCCTCCTTGTCCTTGAAACCCCTGTCAGATATTTCTGGCTTATCGGATGATGCCATACCTTGATCACAAAGCTCACAAGTAATTAATCAAATCAAGTAATCTAGAAAAAAGAAAGTAGAGGAAGACCTAAATACCAATAATAAATTAGTAACATAGATAGCAAATCCTTCTACGAATGTAATTAAAGCAAGATCGAAAAACATAGACCTTATATGGGAGAAAAATGTAAGAGTGGCAAGAAAATAGTGATCCGTGACATAAAAATCATCAAAGTCTAAAACATCATCCAAACCATCCAGATCCAGATCATCATCCCATCATCATAGTTTCAAAACGTTACAATTCTATTCTAACATACTGCTGAAAATGTCAACAACGAAAACAACAATAGAAACATGTAGATCTGGAATGCTAATATCATTATATACACTCGTCATGTACTATCATACTACTTCAATTCCTAATCTTATTGGACGATTGTTTTGATCATATAATGCAAATCACTCCTCTTTTTTTGGTAGAGGAATGAGGATCTGATCCACCATTCTTCCAATATTGAAGATTAGAAATTAAAAGAGGAAAAATATTGCAGAGAATAGCTTTGAGATTTACCTGCAAGCAGCCAAGCAGAGAACTTGATTTTTGATTTTTTATCTTGATTATGTTTTGTGGTTAAAAACCAGAGGCAGCAGAGTAACGGGATGCGGGGATTATATTAGATCGGAAAAAGGAAAGAGGCTTAATTCAATAACAAGTCCTCAAATTATAACATTTGTTTGAGTTAAAATACCTAAGCTATTTTTTTGTGTGGACCTAAACTATATGTAAAATCATGAGATGTGATATGATGGTTGATCACCTTATCCGTTGACCACGTGATAAAGGTTTCAATCTCCTCTCATGAATCATGATAGGGTGAAATTATATAAATGGTCCCTGGTTATAAAATAATGTTTTGTAGAGTCTTCTAATTATGAAAAATTATAAAATAATCTTTAGTTATAGGGAGTTGCTTTGTTGAGTCCACTGACTATTAAAAGTTACAAAATGATCACATGACTATTGATATGTTTCAAACTCGTCATTTTCGTTAAAAAATCAATGATCGTTGGAGCTAAACGTTAACTTGTTGACTAAGATATGATAAAATATGATATTAGAATCTCAAATAACAATACAATACAAACACTTTTGTGATCAGATTTTATCATATCTTAGTCAATAGGTTAAAATCCAACTCAAACAATCCTCAATTTTTAACAGAAAATGATGAATTTAGAACATATGAATAGTCGGGTGATCATTTTGTAACTTTTAATAGTCAATGAACTCAACATAATAATACACTATAATTAGGAGACTATTTTATAATTTTTAATAATCGAGAGAATCAATAAAATAACAACCTATAGTTAGGATACTATTTATGTATTTTACCCATCAAGTAATAGAGCACATTTATGGCCAACTGTTTATTGGTTTAAAGAACATTGGTGATGGGGAAGTAGTTATTGTTTTTTTATTACAAAAAATTTAGTGTAGCGGTGGCCCTCCCTCTAAAATAAAGATATACTTAAGATTCAATTGAGATTTATATAGGGATTTATAGATTATCCACCAAGAGTGACGGAATAGTTATTTTTACCGACTATAATAGTAGAATTTTAAAATAGTGTATAATTTATAACATTTCAACTTTTTTTTGCTAAAAGAATAAAATCTCCGATCAATTAAATGTTGACACATAATAAAAATTAAAAATTGAGATAAATATATTTAATATTGTGTCAACTTCATTAGTTGAAGTATATTTAACGAAGGATCAAATAGATATAAATTATAATTTACAAATTTGATTGGAAAAAAATAATTTAAACGTCCAACTCAAAGGTATGATGTAAGTAACTAATACAAACTTGCGGTCCTCTTCTATAATCCTTCTTCAATTTCACTAGATAATCGTGAGAGAATCTTTTATATATTTTAAAATAGAAATTTAAAAAATTATTGATGGAAATGAATGAATTATGTCGATTGTTGATGATTTTTCCTTTTAATTTGAGCGAAAGTCATAGTTGATTCTTTATGAAAGAATTACAAGTGGTTAATATCGTCCAACTAATCTCAAAGTCCAAAGCTTTAATCACCTTGAATGTCCAGCTACTTGTCATTGGTCCATCATTGTCTTTCATCCCCCTTCTCATTGTTTCCGTCCCCTGAATTTTTAAATTTAAATCTCTAAGTCTCCCTAAACATTAAACCCCTAAATTTCATAAGCCCAAATCCATAATCCCAAAATTTATTATCGTCACTAACCTCCACCACGATTAAACCCCTAAATTCCCTAAGCCCAAATCCATAATCCCAAAGTCTATTATCGTCACTAACCTCCACCACTGTTGTCGGACCTCCACTACTGACCATCTACTTTGTCATTATCCAAATCCTCTTAATCCCTAAATCTTTATAAACATTACATCTCTAGATCCTCAATACTCAAATTCTAACCCCAAAGCCTATTACCACTACAGTCATCAAATGTCTATTAAGGGTGTTCAAAATCAGGTACTCGCATTTTCAAGAGGTATTCAAAATATTGGGTACTTGAGATTTTCATATACCAAAATGTTGGGTCGTGTCTCAACTCGTTAAGTAAAAAAGAAGGTCTAAACACATTTTTTTTATAAATCATCTCAACATTGAACGTTCACAGTCCTGACGTCTATGTGTTTAAACCTGAGTCCTCAAGGAATAATAATAATTCATTTACCAAGAAAGCTACTTGGTTCATACATCTCTAAACACCTTAAATTAACAAGAATAGTTTGAACACTTATTTATCAATTAATCCTTTTATCATTTTATAGCTTCTAATATTTTTACTCTATACTTTTAATTTATCTTTTTAGAATTTTAATAGTGATTTTATTTTTAGTATTTTTAATAATTTTAATAATATACATTTTTAATAACTTTACTTTTTTCTTATATATTAAACTTGTTAAATAATTAGTTAAAAATAAAAAAAATCATTTGTCACCTCATTATTTACGTATAGATTACCATATCAACATTATATATCTCCACATTAATGGTATAACAGTTAACGATAATTTCTTTAATTAAAAAATAATATTTATATAACTTAAGTGTTAGAAAATAATGTTGATGTAACTAAAAATAAAAGACAATGTTAATATTACTTGAGTATTAAGATGAAATTATCCGTTGAATGTATATTTATTTTTAAAATCCCATCTTATCAGCTGCTTTTTTATATTCTTCTACCTTGAAAATAGCAGTTAATCATTCACCATCAACGTTCTTTAATAACGGTAATTAGATTTTATTAATATAAATAATAGAATGAAATTAAAATTACAATACATTTAAATATAAAGAGAAAATTAAGGACAACAATCACTAAATTTTTTATATAAAAATATTAAATTCAAATATATATAAAAAATAAAGTGAAAAATTTCCTTGAAAATTATGACAAACATCAAAAGAACTCATTAACTTTCATAAAAATTCATCGTCGTTGTCGAACGAGATGTTTTACGAAGTAATAAAGAGTTGTGAGTGAATCAAATTATCTGACTGACAACTTCGTTATACAATATTATGATCACCGATCACATTCTTAAACATTCATCACTTATAGTTCATAAATTAATTTACCTAAAATAAAATAAATGAGAGGTATACTTTGGCTTTAATTATTATTTTGTGTACATAAAACTTTCAAAATGTTATTTATTGCAGTACATGAGGAAGTGATGGTTGTGTTGAGACTTGAGTGTACCGTACAACCATCAGTATGTGCTTCTTTTGTTTTGAATAAACAATAAACATTTTTATCTACAATTTGATCTTAGTCATCATGACTATAAGATGCTGCCGTCCGGAATCTCTGCGCTCCTAAGAACCACCATTATTCTCCCACTGATTATATAACCACTGCCCTCCCTCTCCCCTTCTTCAACATTATCTTTGTTGATTATCTGCTCGTACACAAAATATCATTCAAATGTATGCAATGACGATGAATATACACATGTATGTCATGATATAAAATCATGACAAATGATAGTAGTACCTTAACGTTTTTTCCAATCCTTGCGTTTTTATCTACAATGGCTTTTCTAATTTCAGTATTCTCACCGATTCCAATCGGGACGCTCTTACTCTTAATGCTGCTCTCTCTGTCGTCTTCAATCTATTACCAACACCAGCTCACTAGTTACACATATGTAATATGGAGTTTGTGGATGAAAAACCTATAAACACATACATGTATGCATGGATGCATGCATACATACGTACCTGATAGACGTCAGAACCCATGATCACCGAGTCTTCTATGATTGTCCCATCTCCAATTTTCGTCCTCATTCCCACCACTGTACCTTTGATCTTGCATCTCTATTCTTACGAGTTATAAACATGATCAAATACAACAAAAGCAATCTCTTCAATTGCTCATGCACCAGCACCAAAAACATGCATACTTACGTTGAGAATGCAACCATCTCCGATCACACTATCTGTTATGATGGCATCGTTTACGATCGTCGGAGGCAGATATCGAGGCATGGTATAGACCGGAGAATCTCGATCGCAAAAGCTGCAATCAAAGTTTGTGTTAGACTTAGTTTGTGGAAAATTATTCAGCAAAATGATGCAGTCCCATTATCACAGATACCGACTTGTATCCCAAGTTTGAATTCTTTATGCATTTCATATTTGCTTGGTAAAATGCTTCAATGCTCTTCATGTCCTCCCAATACCCTTCAAACAGATATGCGTCGACCTGTCCCGTCAGCAGAAGCACAAGATCCTCATTCATGGAAAACTATGTGGAGAAATTAATCTATATTCATAAATCAGTGAGGATTGAGGACCTTCATTCCTAGAGATAATGCACCTCGTATCACTTCTGTCCCAAAGTAATTTGCCTTCGGGAAATGTTTATTCAGAAGATTCACCATTGTAGCTCGGTTGATGAGGTAGATTCCCATACTTGGAATACACCTATAACTGCTATCACTCAATCTAGTCAAAGCTTCAGCCTGAAACCAATTTTCACAATAAATCATTAAGGGAAGTTCTGGTAATTGTAAAGGAAAAAAAAAACTAACATTTGACTAAATAATCATTTTGGTCCTTATTTTTTTGGGGCATTTTGACCTTAACATTTCATTTTGGTCCCTTATTTCTTTTTTGGAGTATTTTGGTCATAATATTTTATTTTAGGTCAAAATGATCCTTATTTTTAGCGTTGACCGCTTGTTGACTAGCGATTTTCATTCATTGAGGGACCTTTTTATCCCAAAATGAAACATTAAGGGTTAAAATGCTACAAAAAAATAGGAGCCAAAGTGACTATTTGAATTAGTTGCATCACATGTCCTCAAAGTATGACTCTAATTTTAAATTGATCCATAAACTTTTAAATGTTTCAGTTTCATCTGTAAACTATGACTATCATTCTAGATTAGTCCTCAAACTTGTGAAAATTTCAATTTCATCCCCAAACTATGAACTTCATTCTAAATTGGTCCCCAGACTTTTCAAACATTCAAATTTTATCCCAAACTATATGTATATACTAGTCACATCCATTGTTAATAAAATTGTTAGGCCAAGTTATATTATCATATGTCTGAAAAAAAAACAAAATTTAGGTTAAACTATGGTTGAAACTAATTACAT